AAGCAATTTGTATATCAACGTATAGATTTTTTTATATTATTGAGTATGGAAATGTCTACTGACTCAAATGATGCATTAATCATTCAAATTATCTTGAAAACCATCTAGGTAATCAACGATAATTTGCGAGTAATTGCATTTGTCCTTATAAGGAGTACTGTTCCTCATAAGGACAGGCTATGTAAAATACATGGAAAATTAAATATTTTTAGTAGGTGAATTTTTTTTTCTATTTGAAATTGAAAACTTCTTTATACTTTCGCCACAAAAAATATATTCCTTGAGGTATGGTACATTAACTGCCAGTGATCGAAGGCAAATAGAGTTTTGCTTTTCAATCAATAACATCAATTCAAAATTATGGCATTACTATGAAATGATAAATTGTGATAATTCAATCATAATTTCGTTTCAATTAAAAATATAACTATTTGTACTATATCTACATTCCTTTTACTATGTTTGTGCTTCGTTTATTATAAAAATAGCTATTGTAAAATTTGTATTAAGTATCGAGAACAATTGTATGTTAAACACGATATTGATTGAGATTCATTGCAATATTTTTTGATGAATTTGTTTTCATAATATTTTTTTCAAATTTTTATAAAACTATTCAGTTTTGTAATCTCTACGAAACTGTCGATTGATCTTTTTCTCAAGTTTCTTCTTGTTAATATCAAGGAATTAAGTGTTTTTCTTCATCTCATGTCCTCTTTTCTGAAAATAATCTTCATGAAACTTTTTAGTTTCCTGTACGTGAGTAGAAATTTGAATGATTATCTCTTTTCTTCTTTTTCATTATGCTTACATTCATTATTAATATAAACACTCTAGAAGTTTTAAATCAATCACTTATTTTTACTACTTGAAATATGTGTCAGACAAAGTTGAAATTTCAGCAAAAGTAAACTGAGTTGGAAAAAGATCGGAATAGAGAACCGATCTTATAAATTTGTATTAAGCTATCTTTCATTTTAATTGAAGCTTAGTTGAATCTAAAATGTTGTACAGTTTGCGAGTATATTTAGTTGATAGCTAATTTGTCTTAGCGAGACGGGACAAAAAACATCAGAAAAGATCTTTAGGCTCATATTTATTTGTCTTCCAATTTGACTTGGCTCATAAACAATATTTAAAGTATGAATATATTACGTTGTTAATTTGTATTCAGTTATGTTCTAACGAAAAATAATGAAGAACCTTTTAGCTTATGTATGATCTGTGCTATCATAATCAATGTCTTATGTAGGAATTCGATGCTCAAAAATTAATATGTTGATTTGTTTGTTCATGAAAATACTTTCGAACATTATTTTCGGATGCCGACGAAAAATTCATTCGTGCATACATTAAAATATGAATTAGTGAAAAAAAATACTCTGTCTATTTAAAAATGATAAGTACATGCTGCTATGTTCTCTAAATGAAAATGAAAATTAGAACTAATTTTGAAATAAGAAAGAAAATTTGTAGTTTTTTGCTCGATTTGAAACAAAATCTGTCTAAGTATTTTTAACTTAAAATTGGATATTACTTGTGACATATATATTTAAATAAAAAAAATCAAAATGAATCGAACAGCATTAATAATTTATTCAGTTTTCTGATCATTTATTCAATCGACTCAAACTTTGTTTTATCCTTATTTGCAATTATCTTCTTTCGTCAATATTATGTTAAACATACAATTATTCTCGATAATTAATTGAAATTGTTCAATAGCTATTTTTATATACTAAAAAATATTTATTTGTCTTTGTTTTGTACATAGGCCGTTCTTCTTAGAAATAGTACTCCTTATAAGGACAAATACAATTATTTGCAAACTACCGCTAATTATTTAGTTAGTTTTCAAGATAATTGAATGATTTATGCATCATTTGATTCAGAAGGCATTTTTCTACTCAATAATATAAAAAGATCTATACGTTTATATACCAATTTGCTTAGAAAAATAAGAAAACTCTTCAAATGTTTGAAAAGCTGTTCGAATTAGGAACATTCAATGTACAGAACTAGATGATGCAAAGTTTACTGACATTTGCTCAATTGACAATGTATGAGTTGCAACTAAAGATGGAATATCAGACGACCAAGTTGATCATGAATTAGAATTGAAAAAACAAGTAATACAACAATGGAGAATGTTTAGTGCAGCAAAATGCTAGCAAATGATTAAAAAAATACCGAGTAGACTGAAGCAAACGATAGATCAAGATAAAGTGTAGATATATAAATGTTGATGAATAATTTATATTATTATTATTATTTGTTTAAAAGAAGTTGGACTTACAAATCTTCTTTCGAGGAGTACATCATATGTAACATTACTAATTAAGTATCAAAAAAATATTTTTAAAAATTTTGACATTACTTGTATTTCTGTAACTACAATAAATAGACAGTTGAAATTCTAATATAGAGTAGATCTGACGCCTGGTGTGTGTACTGTGAATATCGAATGTTATGTATTCGTCGAACGACACTTTAGTCGACAGGCTTTTCATCGAAGTAACTTTGTCGAAAAATTTTTGTCGAGATATTTTTGTAGAAAAGCATTTCGTCGAAAGTGAATTATTTTCTTCTTCTTATTTGTTTCGCCGTCAGGAGACAAGTTCAAAAGTATCTCCTAATTAACTTTGTTCCTTTGGCGATGATGGAAGGATTTCAGGGCACTATTGAATAGAATTACATACTTTTCGACGAAAAGCAATTCAAGGAAAGGTTCGCAGCCACTCAAGACAATTCTGGATCCTTCAATTCTTCTACAGAACTGTTCAGAGTTAAGAGGACAATGAATTCTCTCTCATATTCACGTTTGTAGTGCCTTTGCCCTCACCCTTGCCTTCACCCTCACATTTGGAGTAACTTGCATGATTCTTACTCTCATCCTCACTCTCATGCTCACCTCACCTTTACATTGGATGTACTCTCCATAGCCAAGTAAATACTTTCGACGAAAAACAGATATCTATCTGAGTTTATTGATGAAATGCTTTGTCGGCGAAGTGTCGTGTCGACGAAATATTTTTCGATCAACAACATGATTACCGTGAATATCAGTCTCGGCCAATATGGAACTATCAGCAAAAAGAATATTACACGGTAGTGAGAGCGGGGTGATCACAACTTACTCTACACTTTTATATTATTTAAGTAGCTCGTTGATTTCTATGGATACCGTAAATGGAGTCCATTTATATTTTCCGTTTATCATCATATACCTTCGTTTACAAGCAAATATTTTTGCCTTTGGTAAACTTTACTTCTGATAAGATTGTGTCTCATGACAGTCAGATAAGTGTGGCCTTCTGCATTTTTTTTTGTTGATGACTAATTAAAAAGTATCACGAAACATTCGCAGAATTCAACTTTTTCCATATATATATAGCACCATACACAATCCTGTCGGACTGTAATTTAAAACAGAATTCATTCCATATGCTGTCGTTCAATACTCCTCTCTTATTACTTTTTCTTCTTTCCATCTTTCTTAAGCCAACAGTTGCTATCAACTTTGCAGCTGATCCCGATGAGCAGACAATATGCAACTGCACGATAGTCTCACCAAATGGCAATTTTTGCATGATGTACACTTGCCACAAGTATGAGGCAATAGAAAGCCATAGTTGTTTTCCGGGCTCAAGTCAAGTTCATCTTGTAACTGGTATGAGAAAAGCGCTCAGTGATGTTCAAATCGGGGATCAGGTGCTTGTTGGTGGTGGTACCTATGAGCCAATCCTCGGCTTTATTCATTCGAAACGGAATGGACTTTATGAATACCTCCGGATTTCAACAACGGATGATTCGTTGGTGGACAAAGATCTTCTCATCTCTCGCAACCATCTCATTTTCGTGGATGATGACATAATGCAAGTCCGCTTTGCCGGACATCTTCGCATTGGTGATCGCTTGAAGATGTTTCTCAATAACAACCAAACCGTATCAATAACCGCCGAAATAATCCGAATTCAAAGAACGATAGCACAGGGCTTCTATGCTCCATTGACACCTTCAGGGACGATTGTTATCAATGGAATTGTTTGTTCCAACTATGCTAGCGTCAGTAATCACGATCTAGTTCATACCATGATGGGCATCTATCGCTGGTGGGTCCACATGGTGGGACCCCCAATGACAGAAACTGACGAACAGCACGATATTCACTGGATCCTGCAAGGATTTGTAATGTTCACACGCTTTCCTCTTTTCTCTGTTGTCAAAGAACTCATCGGCATAACATTCTACAATTGAACACTTCAAGTGCTATTTATTTTCCTCTAAACATTGTGTGCTATTTTCAATTCTGAGTTATATAAACTAGAAGCTTATCAAAAGTAATGACAATAACACTATAAAATCTTATGGGGGATTCGAGAAAATTTTTTTCCAGTATATACTAATAGTTTCAAATGAACTCTGCAATTCTACAATATTTCATCATTCTTTAGATAGTATCATAATATTGAAAGCATAGCAAAAATAGTGGCAGCTTGACGAAAAAATACTATATTGGGTGCGTAAAAATGTTTTCTCAGAGGGCGACACTGTGACTTCATATAAAAATTTTTCAATGTTGAATTCAGAAAATTCCTAAAATTTTAGACTTTATTAGCAGAGAAAGATTCCTTTCATGGAGCAGTTCAAATTAAATTTTATTTAGAATCATGCAGATCAAAACGTAATATTTATTTTTTTAAGATTTGATAAATATAATCAATAATCAGTATGACGACATCAACGTTTTACAGCAAGAAGATCAAACGGATACGCACATAAAATAATTTTAAATGGGTCAATGTTTGTAGTTTATTGTGATAATAGATCAAAAATAAATTTCACGGAAAATAGACAAAGATACAGTATGCAATAATGAACAAATATTACGACAATCGAGCTTTGAAGGATAATAGTTACAAACAGGAATAATGATATGAAACATCAAAAGCTGCTTGTTGTGTCTACTGTTTGAAATGTTTAATATATTTCTGCACTCTTCAAACCACACTAACATTTGACCATTCACCAGTACCTAACACTTTTCCATTTGTTAATACGGATGCTATGTGCTCCTCTTGTTGATTATTCATGCTACCGTTAGTTATCCAAGTTCCTGTTGATAGGTCATACAACTCAGCACTATTAAGGAAATCATTTGTATTCTCTCCACCGGCAACTAACACTTTTCCGTTTGTTAATACAGATGCTGTGTGCTTCGTTCGTTGAATATTCATGCTACCAGTAGTTGTCCAAGTTCCTGTTAATGGATCATACAATTCGGCACTCCTAAAAAAACCACTAAAAGTTCCTCCGCCAGTAACTAACACTTTTCCATTTGTTAATAAGGATGCTGTGTGCTCCATTCGTTTACTATGCATATCATTGGTGCTTGTCCAAGTTCCTTTTGATGGATCATACAATTCGGTACTATTTAGAACACCCTCAATGTTATGCCCCCCAGTAACTAACACTTTTCCATTTGTTAATAAGACCGCTGTGTGTTGCCCACGTCGTTGATGTTTCATGCTACCAGTAGTTGTCCAAGTTCCTGTTGATGGATCATACAATTCGGCACTATGTAGAGCAACATAATTGCCCCCACGAGTGACTAGCATTTTTCCATTTGTTAATAAGGTTCCTGTGTGTCCTTGTCTTGCTTGATTCATGCTGCCAACATTGATTGAACCTATACGAAAACATACGTATGTGCTCATGCTGGAAAGAATATGTGTTGTTGAAAACACACACGATAGTCTATTGGTGTGCAGAAAGTTTTCAATTTTGTAACATGAAAATTGTTTCTTGCCAATAAAACAAAGTTTTTCCTAAATTTCTAGTGACCGAAAAAAGCCTAGAGTTTATTGTAAGAAGTTGCTCATGATACAGTGTGATCGTGCGTTTCGCGCTTTTGGTAAAAAATCATATTCATAAATAACAGATAAACTAGGTTCGTATTTTATAACTATCATCACATTATTTACAGAATTAATATGCTTGTGATCATGAGTTACTGGAATTTGGACCGCAAGATTTTTCGGTTCGAATCAAAAATCATCTTAAGAGGAGAAGAGAGTTCTACATGGATGTATTTTTTTATGGTACTTTCGGCCCGGACTCAAGTTCTATTCGGATTTTTGGTTCCAACTTTCTTTATTGGTATATATACAAAACCCTATGTTTGTAAATAGTTTGTGTGTTCGTAGCGCGCAGCAGGGTTAGATGACGCTGAGCAGTTTGCTTAGATCTCTATTATCAATGTCGTAGTCTTTTGATATAATTATTAATTATCTGAAATAACTGCTAACGTGAAAAAGTGCAGTGCTTAATAGGATACAACAGTGATGAGAAATGTAAAGAATATGAAAAAGCTTTCTATCTTCACTTGAATGTGATTGATGCCAAATGTGTAGGCAACGTTGCCAGTTATGAAAAGATTCGAACAAACGACCTGTTTGGTTTGCAATATCCGTTCGCACTCACTGTTATCTGAAACTTATCTCAACAAGACTAAAAGTGCTTTCTTCCTCTGGCTATTAGCCAGAATAAAAGATGACTGTGAAGATTACAAGAACCTGAAAGCAAGATGTATAGATCTTCATGACGCAATCATGCTGTATCCTGGGATGGACCTGCCTACATTACTTTGCTATGAGAATTTACACTCGACTGATCAACAAGTAAAAAATCTGCTAGAGAACTATATAAAAATTGAGAATCGTGATGCAATTCTAGTTGAAATGAGTAGTGATGGCAACTATATGTATTGCACTATTCATACATTTTATTCAACAATGTGTATCGATAAAATTCATTGTCATTGTTTACACCAACTGTGTACACACAATCAGTATTACAATACAATGAGAATGGCGAATGCTTTTGATCTAATAGATGATAAATGCGTGAAAGATCATGTGACAAGAATTTTGAATAACAATCAACATATTGGTATTCTCATAATGAGAACTTTAGCGAGTACTCTACGTCGTGCCATTGTATCGATATATCCACAAGTGAATATGATTAACGTCTTTTTTTTAATGTATTGAATGCAACTTTTCTTCCATGAGAACGGCTAAATTCTATTTTACGAACGTCAATACGTATACTATAGTGAGCATCTGACATGGATACTGACCAAAACTGGTAGCATAATCATTTTTTCATCAATTATAGTCACTAGTGAGCTGTCACATGCTACTGTAACGACTACCTCTGTAAATATATTTGATGATGCAGCCCTGATAAAAAGCATACATGGGATACCAGCTTGCATGGGTCATATGTCATTGCCAATTAGAATTGCAGAAAAAAGAAATTGTTGTTGAGAAGAGAAATGGTGAAAATGCCTCCGCGATTGCTATATATAGTTTTGAATCAAGTCGTTTTCTCGAACTTCCTCTTACTATTCAACAAGTATTGAATACCATGAAAGAAAACCTAGTTAATTTGCACCTACCAAAAACGATAATCTCTTCTTCAAGCTTCATTATGAAATTTACACAAGAAATAATGGTAATGAGGTCTGCACATTGACTTAACATTGAGAAAACTCGGTTGCCGAAAATTTGCCGATATTTCTACAATATAATGAAATTGGAGGATCCTCAGCACAAAATCACATTCTAAAGCCACACGCAAACTCTACGAAATATCGACAGCCACTTTCTTCAATATTGCTTTCGATTGTCGAGAAAATAGGAGCATGTTTAATAGTATCGTGAAAATTACTTCAAATTTTGTTCGCATAATTAATCATATCCGCAAGAAACGAAGTCATCAACAACTTATACAAGTTTCATAGTCTTTGAAGAGTAGGTAGTAGGAGCAGAACTTAAGTATAAAATACTGGACGAATAAGTAATTTGCATATAGAAGAATGTAACGTTGTCATGTGATAGCTGAAAAAAACGAAATGGAATCGCTACACGATTTGCTATGGCTAGGAGTCAAGCTCTTATTGGTATCTGGTCTCAAGTTCATTTGCTCCAAGAGATTAAACGTTGATGTACAAGTGTCTCATATCAAATAGCTTTGTCAGTAACCTGTATGTATAGATCCTGAAAAAATCGTATAGAATGAATACTCCTCTTATCGACCAGGTATCGATACAACTGTTAGGCTTGGCGAATTTTTCGTAATACCTACAACCTTTCGAAACTTGGTGTAAGCGTGAGCGTGGTTGATGATGTTCTCTTTGTCTACATCAATACACTCTATCCATAAATATCCTCATATCGAGTCATCTGATTTCAGGAGCCTCTGATTACTAATTCGTAGATTATTTTTCAATTAGGCATCTTTCTTTATAAATTATATCCATTTTACTAATGGAATAAAAAGTGGCAAAATATCGATGCAAATGATTTGGTAAAGGATTAAAATTATACGATTTTCATCGATTAGGAATCGGCTATAACAAAAGAATTCAAATTAACCACTTTTAAATGACTAATTCGACGAAATATGACTATAATACTAGAAGAAAGAAGGATAATCTAAATTACTCTAAAACCAGTCTAAATCGTACAAGTCATTAAAAACCATTGAAAATCAACCGATATTTTTCGATACCTATGAAGACTCTAAAGTTATTTTCGCGGAATTTTTTTAGTTTAAATGATTTTGATTGACTCTCGGTAAGTTCTTGGCTCTAGGTAGTTTTAATTTAACTGGTGCCAAGATGCATACCAACTACATATACTTGACTTAAAAGTAATTTTTAGGTAGATTAAAAAGCATTTGTGTACAGCTTACCTAATTGCTGAGTTGTAGTTGCAGTTGTTGGTGGTGGTGATGGTGACGTTCCCATTGATGATGATAATGTTGTCACGATGATACTCTGCTTCTTTGGTGCAAGTATAACAAATTTTAATACCAGAAAAAGTATAACTGCAAGCATTGCTACAATGATAAAGCAGATACAAATGATCATAAACCAACGATGGCGCCACCATTTACGTGGTCCATTATTTTCATTGACTTGCTCACTGAACATTCAGTCGTCGTGTATATTATGTTCTACAAGAAACTTAAACTGAAATAGGAATGAGCGTGTGAATGAAGAGAACATTTACACTCACACTCGCATTTATAGTTTTACCAATACAGAAAAGTCTGCTAAGAGTGCTAGAATGCATCAGCAGAAAGGAAACAGAAGTTTGTTAAAACCTAAATGACTATGCTTGTAAATGGGAGCAGCCTATAAACGTAGAAAAGACGGTGGTAAAACTATTCTACTCACAAAAAAAATAACCGATAATACTGATTTACATGAGTGGGAAACAATTAGAAACAATGAGATCACTTAGTTATTTAGAATTTGTGTAGACGGATAAATTGTCTCTCGCACCGACTATCAAACATTGCATAGAAAAGATTTAGAGTTCATATATACTACATTAAGATGACTGAAGAGAAATAGTGTAGTTTTGACTAACATATTGAAACTATGTTTCTTTGCCTATAGCTTTCTCTTCTTTGCGCAGATTTCCCTCCCTCCCCCCTCCCCTCTTCTCCCTACTACACGTCCCTCACCAAAGGTTTCTAGAACGTAACTTCAGAATATGCTTAAGGATAGCATATATATATATATATATCATTATAGTGGCACGTGAACGAATTAATAGAATATCACGTTCCGACCTAGATGAGACGTTGTTTTATAACGATCTTTTCTAATGGGATGTCTTTACAAATCAAGAAAAGAAATAAAGAAGAATTTATGCTGAACGGAAATTAGATTTAATACATTTCTCCAGATTACACAGACTGAGAAAAATGATTGATAGGTACGAGTCAACTTTAGTCCACTAATTTTAATTCATCGAAAATCATTCCTAATAAGAAAATAGATTAGATTAATGTGTGAGTTCTTCTTAGCTTTTTAACAACATTACCTTCTCTTTCCAGCTTAATATACTTTATGACTTATGCTCCAGGGATTCTTTGTCGTTCATATTATATACTAGAAACAAGTTAGCATATGGTTCGCTTTTCACGTATTTATCTTTTTTCTTTGTTTTTCTTATTGATATTATACTGATTTCCCTTCTTTTCTTTTCCTCCCTGTTATCATGCTTTTGTAAGCGCCAATAGACTTCATAAAATAAGGCTCACTCAAAAAAAACCTATTGTTTTTTTTAATCTTTTCGCGTACAAATGCCTCGCGGGTATGATAGTATCAGTATGGAAGCTATTTCATGATCGATTTCAACCTTCCTCAAGGATATCCATCGGATGGTTCTTAGATCTCAATCCTGACTAGCGAGTCGTTGAGAATGGCGTGAGACAAACTACTACAATACCAGTGTACTTCAAATTTGTTTTTGCTTTATTTGTTTTTATTGTTTTAGTTCATGAAGAATATATATCCAAAATAGAAAAGAAAATGAATTTAAATATATGTATAATCGGATAACTTTCAAAGGCTTATGATGACAAACATATTTTAGATCAATCCTAAATGGAGATATGATGCTTAGAGTAAACAAACCAAAACAAAGTTTTCTTGCAAATGAGTTTAGTAATTTTATGTACTCCTAGATACTGTCTGTAGTATTTGCTCGAGATACAGTTTTCAATCTTTAATTTTATCAATTATTTTCTTGTAACTCTTTATTTTATTATTTCACTAAGTCAAAATACAGATCAAGTTACTGTTAAAGCAATTGTCCAGTAGTGATGATGAAGGCCATAAAAATAGTCCAATTCGGTGATATTGATAAAGATGCGGACGAAAGTCAATACAATGAAACTCCAAGATAAAATCGAAAACAAGCTTCTATCAGAATATCGACTCACGAACGATCACCAACACAATCTTCTCAAATATTAAATGATGACAACATCTCTAATCAACATACATCAGATGAAGATCTCGATGAAGAAGATAAAATAGCTGTTGAACAAGAACAACAAATGAATAAATTGAAAAATAAGATTTTAACATTGTGATTAAATTTCTTAACTAATTCTTTCACAATATTTAGATTAGTGTTCTACACAAGTTTTTTTTTAATGATTGACTAGTGTTTGAGATTAGATGAGCTATAGAACTCTAACAATGCTTTAAGATTTCTTACTGCTCCAATATTCCTTCCTCCACAAAACAGTGTGTTGCACTTGAAATTTTCATATATCCTTTCTGAGAAAAAAAGCTTTTTAATTTTTTCGTTACAGTTTGCCGTGATTGATGGTGATTTGTCCAAAAAGTATCTTCTGAGCAAGTTTAGATGAAAATCTGAAGTGCTGTACATTGTTTTTTTTTGTGAATAAGAAGAAAACTGAGTAAGGTACAATTCCTAAATTGCTTTTTGAGTTTCAGCCCTCATTTGAGCTACAAAAATATTCAATTATGAAAGCAATTCATGTAAAAAACATTAATTTACACATACAGTTAATCGCTTGTAACTTTCGAGAGTTATATTAAGAAAACTGATCTCATCCATTTAAATTGATTATCTTATTCATTATTTTCATTTTAAGTCTTATATTCAAATTTTTATTATTTTTGAAATATTTAATTTTGAAAAGCATCTCCAAAACTGCAGAAGAACTATATTTTATAGCAATATTTCCAACGGTGTAAAAAAGTAAGCCTTTCTGAGAAATACTTATAGTCATAGATATGATCATATGTTAAATCTGGCTACTCATAGTTGCTTTTTTTTTCTATTGTAGTATCTAAATACATGAAAAATTCATAGATCTTATTCTTATATAATAGTCTTACAATGAAATAATAATAATGCATTATTTTTATCAAAGAAATATTAAGATATAAAAAACTATCATACTATAAGAAGACATATTATTAACATCTTATAGGAATTAGATTATATGGTTGGCCGTAAAAATGTCGAAAGGAAAAATGTCGAAAGGAAAAATGTCGAAAGGAAAAATATCGAAACGAAAAATGTCGAAAGAATGAAGGGGAAAAATGTCGAAAGGAAAAATATCGAAGTGGAAAAATGTCGAAAAAATAATATCGACATGAAAAATGAATAATAAATGTTTTATACAGCTGTGAATAATGAAGAACATGTTTTATTATATGAGTTAACGTTAACGTTCTAACAGAGACCAAATATAGATAATGAAAAAAAAAATCGATCTGTCATTTTTTCTGTTTAGCAACTGTAAATGATAAACCGTCTAAGTATTCCATAGCACTTATAGCACCATCATTGGTAGTAGTTGTTGTTTTATTCAATTTGAAAACATAGTTATTTGCTACGAGTAAAGATTTTCCTTTATTTGAATTTATAAATGAAATAGTTGGAGATTTTGGTCGAGTAACTTCAACTGAAGATACAGCAGCTTCAGACATGACAATAGAATTTTATTTATATAATGGTTCTTCGTTCAACTCTTTTATTTAGTTTATATTAGGTATTAGTCATCACAATTACTACTGGTTAAACTTCTATACTAGTAGAATTATAAGGAAAGTAAAAATCACCTAGACGTGATTAGAGTCACCATCTACTGAAGACATTATTTTTTTCGATATTTTTCTGTTTCCATATTTACTTTTCGACATTTTTCCTCTTCTATATTTTTTCTTTCGACATTTTTCCTTTTCGATATTTTTCCCCTTCGATATTTTTCCTTTCGACATTTTTCCCCCATTTTTTTCGATATTTTTCTCTTTCGATATTTTTCTCTTTCGACATTTTTCCTTTCGACATTTTTCCAGCACACCGATTATATTATCATACGAATTTCTTACAAATACCGCGATATTCGCCTAAATTTATAATAAATTTTATAATAGAAAAATCTCGAAACTGTGTCTATTACAATTGTCTTTAACACATACAATAAAAAAAATTGTGATAATGGTATCGAAAAATTTTCAATTATCGATGATTATGAATAGTCTTCAGGATCTGTTGATACATTCCTCTGTTTCTAACTCAAGTTACTTTACTTATTAATTGCTCAGATCATAAAATCTGATATGTAGCAAACTATTGTCTTCATTGAATACAAGAATAGATGAAGAAAGAAAAACTTTGCTACAGTAAAATTTATTTTTAGACCATAAAATCTAGATCTGTAAATTATATCAATCACTTGTTCGAATCAAAACCAAAAAATCAATATTCTGAAAATTGGTGCTGATAGCTAGTAGTACTTAGTTCCAAAGCGTGAGCTCATAGGTCGCTCATAAGTAATAGAAATCCTGGCCACAAGATAGAGGAACTATGTATGACCTATGCATTTCTGTTATATCATTTAGCACGATCAAAACTGATTTTGAGTATGTCATTATGTAAAATACCTATGGTAGTATATACCTACAGACTTTCGTGGTTAAAAACATTATTGTAGAAAAATGGCAAAATATAAAATGAATGGATACTGCATCGATCATCATCATTTGTTACCTGATGGTGTCTTTATATCTCACTTAGAGCTACATACTGGGAAAACTTCATTGAAATCTATGACATCAATTGAGCATATGATTCGTATTTGTGTCGTTTCTCTCGTACAATGGCTCCTAGGAAGTTTTTAACTTACTTCTTACTTCCTAAAAACTAGGAATTCTCAAAGAGTTTCTCCGGGAATCAACAATGAGTTCTTGGGGATTCTTTTCATGACTTCGTAATGATTCCTCAAGGATTTCGTATTTTTCAGGTCACTCACCAGAGACTCTTCAAGGAAGAGTCGACTAGGGCAACAATGACGAATCATAGAAAATATTCATCCAAGTATTTGTAACTAACACAAAGTCAAAACTATAAATGTATCGTTAAATTTTAATCAGTTATACTCATAGCTCGGATGTAATTTCAGGCAACATGATGGCAGATGTGAGCCATTATTTAGTATTTACAGTAATCACAAAAAGTAGTGCTACCAGATGAAAACTATCTAAAACTTAACCATTTGGGCTAATATTTTTACCATAAATATAACTCAGTGAACCCTCATCGCAGCACCAGCCCAACCTCAATCAGTTGATGTATAATGGAATTAGTAGCTCAA